TCAAGTGTGTGAGTCTCTCAAGGCCAAATCCTCATATCACCAAAAAAAAGAGAAAGGAAAGAATAATATAGACTTAATTTGATCCAATTATATCACTTAACATGCATGATTATAAAAAGCACAATGAAACCCATTGTACAATTAATGTTAATAAAAATTTAATAAATTAAAACCAGATTTAACCATTCTATCTTATAAAATGCAGTGAATTATAAAATTATACATTAAACTATAATTTAAACTATAATTTATTAGCCTATAAAACTGTAATATTTCTAGATGAAAGCATAAGAAAATGTCTTCAGCACCTAAATTTCTTACACAAGTCACTAAAACACAACATATAAACACAAGGTTGAAAAACTGAGTATCTTCAAAATTAAAAATTTTGTTCTGAAAAACATGTCTTATTAAGCAAATGGAAAGACCAGCTGCAGAATAAGAAAATACTTTCATATCTGACATAAGACTTGCAAAGATGTGTAGCCTGACTGGCCAGTAGGGGAAAGCAATTTTTAACAAGTTATTACCAAATCTATCAGCATGGCTATATTAGTGAAAATAACAAACATTGAGAAAGATGTGATAAAACTGACCTCCTAGCCAGCCACCATGCCAGTGGTTCAGCCTGTAATCCTAGCTACTCAGGAGACTGAGATCTGAGGATCACAGTTCAAAGCCAGGTGAGGCAGGAAAGTCCATGAGACTCCTACCTCCAATTAACCACCAGAAAACCAGAAGTGGCACTGTGGGTCAAGAAGTAGAGCACTAGCCATGAACTGAAGAACTGGGGGATAGTGCCCAGGCCCAGAATTCAAGCCCCACAAACAACAACAACAACAAAAAACCTGACCTATTTATTGCTGGTGGGAAGACAAAATGGTACAGTCTGGAAAAGTTTGACAGTTTCATTTATTTTATTTTGTGATGATCTGGAATCATGAACTCTGAGCTGTTTTTGCTCAAGGCTAGTGCCCCACCACTTAACCCACAGCTCCATTTTTGGCTTTTTGGTGGTTAACTGGAAACAAGAGTGTTTCATGGACTTTCCTGCCTGGACTGGCTTAAAACCAGGATCATCTGATCGCAGCCTCCTGAGTAAAAAGGATTGCAGGAGTGAGCCTCAAGTGCCTAGCTCTGTGTGTGTGTGTGTGTGTGTGTGTGTGTGTGTGTGTGTCTGTGTGTGTGTGTCTGTCTGTGTGTGTGTGTGTTGATATTGGGAGGCTGATATCAGGGTCTAATGTTCTTCCTCATTTTTTCTTTCACAACTTAAGTTCTACCACCAGCAGCCATTCCATCAGTTCCTACTAGTTTCTTTTCTTTTCCTTTCCTTTTTTTTTTTTTTTTTTTTTTTGGTAGTGGGGCTTGAACTCTGGGATTGGGCACTGTCCCTCAGCTCTTCAGCTCAAGGCCATCACTCTACCACTTGAACCACAGCACCCCTTCTGGTTTTCTGGTGGTTTATTGGAGATAAGAGTTTCAAGGCCTTTCCTGCCCAGGCTAGCTTTGAAACGTGATCCTCACATCTCAGCTTGCTGAGTAGCTAGGATTACAGGCTTGAGCCACCAGCACCTGGCTTCCTTTCTTTTTTTTAAAAAAAATTAATTTTAATGATTATTTTTTTCCTTTTTTATTGAGCTTATTTTTTAAGTTGTGCTGAGGAACTGAACCTAGAGCTTCAAGCATACTAGGCAAGCCCTCTCCCACTAGGCCACATTCACTTCCCCTTTGTTGTTGTTGATCGTGGATCTTGAACACATGGCCTGGGTGCTGTCTCTGAGCTTTTTGGCTCAAGTCTAGTGCTCTACCACTTTGAGTCACAGTGCTACTTCCCCTGGCAGTTTCTTTTAACACTAAAAATACATTTATCTTCCAACCAAGACAACACAACATACACTTAACATCTGGCTCAGCAACTGCAATTCTGGGTATTTAGCACAAGGAAATGAATGTATGTTAGCACAGAAAACTCTATGCAATATTCATAGTCCTTCTTAAATTTATTTTTGCAGTACTTGGGCTTGAACTCAAAATGCCTCAGGCTTGTTATATAGACTCTTCTACAACAAAACCAGAACTTCTGCTCTTTTTTGTGCTTTTTTTATGCCAGTCCTGGGTCTTGAACTCAAGGTGTGGGCACTGTCCTTGAGCTGTTTTGCTCAGGGCTAGGAGGCATTCTACCACTTATGCCACAGCTCTGGCTTTTTGGTAGTTAATTAGAGATAAGAGTCTCATAGACTTTACTACCCAGCCTGGTTTCTTGCTTCCAACCACAATCCTCAGATCTCAGCCTCCTGAGTAGTTAGGATTACAGGCATTTGTCACCAGAGCCTAGCTGTACAATGCCTGTCCAGGGGTGCAAGTACACTTACACTGTGATGGGTGATTTTAGGCTTCCCATCATAATTATAATAATAGAAGTGCGCCACCGAGTGGCAGCTCTCAATTGAGGCCTCTAAAACTTTACTACACTGGCTGGCCTTGAACCACAATTCCCATCTTTGTATTCCAACCGGCTAGGATTATACATGTGAGCCAGTGGCACCCGGCTATCAGTTTTATCTAGTTTGTGTGTATGTGTGTGTGTGTGTATGCACCGGTGTATATGTGCACACACACATACACATGCGTGCGCGCGCGCGCGCACACACACACACACACACACACACACACAAACACAGGACTTTGCGCTGTCACTTGGCTGTTTTGCTTAAGGCTGGTGATCTATTCCTTGAACCACACTTCTAGTCTGGCTTTTTTGGCACTTAGTTGGAAATAGGAGTCTTGTAGTCTTTTTTGTCCTTGCTGGCTTTGAGTTTCTCTCCTCCTGAGTAGTTAGGATTACAGGCATGAGCCCCTAGCACCTAGCTCATTTTTATTTTTAAGAGATTAGAATGGGAAACATATCAGAGACCTAGTGGCTCAGGCCTATAATCCTAACCACATAGGAGGCAAGGACCTGGGGATCCCTGTTCAAAGCCAGCCTGGAAGGCAAGTCCATGAGACTCTTACTTCTATCAACCAGAAGTGGAGCTGTGGCTCAAGCAGTAGAGCACTAGCCTTGAGCAAAATGCTTTGGGACAGCGAAAAGCCTCCAAGTTTATACTCTAGTACCGACACAAAAAAACAAATTCAAAGCAAGCCGAATGTGGGAAAACAGTTTAACTGGTACATCTATACTACAGAATGTTACTCAGAAGTAAAAAGGTATGAACTATTAAGCTTCGGTGAATCTCTACAAAATGATGCTCAGTTAAATAAAAATCCTCAAAAAAGTATGATTCCATTTCTATAATATTCCCCAAAAGAGAAATTACAGAGGTGGTAAACATGTTAGGGATTCCCAGGGACTGGAAAAGGATGTGCCTATGACTCTAAAGTTTAGCAAGAATGAATGTGATAGGGAATCTACACAGTGATAAAATTGCATTGAACTATACACACAGATCCAAAAAGGAATGCATGTAAAATTACCGAAATCTCACCGGGTGCCGGTAGCTCATACCTGTAATCCTAACTACTCAGGAGACTGAAATCTGACAATCCTGTTTTAAGCCACTCCAGGCAGAAAAATCGCGGTGAGACTCTTACCTCCAGTAAATTACTCAAAAAAGCTGGAAGAGGTGCTGTGGCTCAAGTGATAGAGTGCTAGCCATGAGCACAAAGAGGCTGAGGAGGGTCTGCACCTAGGCCCTGAGTTCAAAGTCCAGGACCGGAAAAATAATTTAAAAAATTAAACATAAAAAATTCTGAAATGTAAATAAGCTCTGTGGATAGTACTATTGTCAGTGTTTTGGTTTTGATATTTTATTCTAATTATATAAGATATGACTATTGGGAAAAACTAGGTGATGGCTATATAAGACCTCTCAGTAATACTTTTTTTTTTACAACTCCCTTCAAAAGAAATTATGTATGAAGTACTACAAATATTTTGGAATTTACACATTTGCATATTATGAGAGGGAAATACATCTTTAACATGGAATAGTCAAATACAAAAGAGCCTAAATTACCGTTTATCCTGAAATACTTAATGAAAATAAGTATATGTAAACTCTTCATAATTGCATAAAATACATTTACAAACCTAGAGAAGTCAAAAAAGTTTTCTGTGAAACATCTGTATCACTCAGAATTCATCTAAAGGGTCAGAACTAGAAATATATAACTAAATATAATATCTATAGATATTTCCCACTCATTAACTATTGTCTTAACGAATTTTGGTGCTAACTAAGCAAGTACCCAACCTACAGAGCAGTTAGGGAGGCTGGAAGCAGTGGGCCCAGACTAAGCACTCACCACAGGGAATCTCTACAGCCATTACTGTCCTGATCTCTGTAACAAACAGGATGGAGATTCATTCTGTCTCCCAGTTTCTTCCTGTCTCCCCTTTCCTCTCTCTGTCTCTCGGTGTCTGTCAGCTTCCTTCCCCCTCCCCTTTTCACCTCAGCCCCAAATTAAAGATGGTTTTTCAAGTGATTCGGCCAGTTTCACTAGATGATTTGAGACAATCTCAGGAGTTGTTCTTTTTTAATGTCACCAACACATCTCTACAGCAACACGTGGTTGACATCAGTGACTCACAGGGAGAGAACTGACACACTGACACGGAAAGCACTGGTATCCTCAAGCACTTTGCTTGCAAAGGGACACTTGGGTTGCGAATTGTCCCTTGGCTTTATTATAGGCTCCCCAAGCCTAACGGACCTCCGTCAGGAGTGCGCTTCGAGTTTATGTTCACCCACAAGCCCTTCCCTACCTTTGGAGTTCGCCGGGAGCAAGCGGAGCGAGGCTGGGTTTCCACAAAGGGAAAGCTTCTCCACTTCCCAGTGTTCTGGGCCCGCAAGCGGAGCTCTCAGCTCCTCAGGGAAGAGCGCCTTCCCGCCCAGCAGGAGGAGCGGTAGAACCCACCTGAAGCACAGCACGCGGCTGTGGGCGGGGAGAAGTGGGCGGAGCCTGGAAGCGGGAGGCGCTCGCAACCAGCTCAGCCCGCCAGAAGAGCGCGCGGCGGGCAGGCGTGCAGTCGGCCAGCAGACGTGCAGGCGGCGGCGGGCCAGCTAGCCGAATAAGAGTGAACGCGTCCGGCGAGACGGGAAGCTGTTAGTGTGAGTGTGCGAGTGTGCGTGTGTGTGAGGGAGAGAGAAAGAAAGAGTGTGTCTGTGCTGTACGGTGGGGGGGGGGGGGGGGAGTGCAGCGTGGGGGGGGGGAAGGAAGGAAAGGGAAGAGGCGGAGCGTGGGAGCGCACAGTGTCAGGATACAATAGTGCTCGGCGCCGCCTAAGCCTGAGCCGCTGCTGTTGCTGCGGCCGCTGGCTAAAGCCTCCTCGGAACTGAGAGGCCTGATGGGCTGGCAGGGCGAAGGTGGGCGCCCGGCGGGAGCGGAGGCGGGTGTGCGAGGTGCGGGGGCGGCCGCGTGGATCTCAGCGGGAGTCGAGAAGGAGGGGCTGAGGGGACTACTAGGGGGCAGGTGCGAGAAAGGGAAGTGAAGAAAGCGGGCGGCGTGGGGGGCGGTTACCACGCCCACCCCTCAACCCGTGATTGGCCTTGCCCTGCAGCGTTGCGGGGGGCCCTAGTTTGGGACGCGGCGTGAGGAGCCACGAGCTCTTTGCGCCAAGGTAGGCGGATCCTGCGCGAGCGTGGTTGGGGGCGTCGGGGCGAGTAAGCTTGTGGAGTGGCGGCCTCTCCGAGGAGGCGCGGGTGGGCGCGGAGCAGAGTCCGGGTTCAGCCTCGCCGCGGCCGCGGAGCGCTCCGGCTCCCCGTAGCGGTCGCCTTGGGTGTCCCCAGAGCCGGTGAGTCAGGAGCTTCTGCAAACCCAGGTCAAGTGCTTGGTGGCTCTTCTACTGACTTGTGTGACCCATCGGAGCGGGTGGCTGGGAGTGCGGCGCGGGGGCGGGGTGCGGTGCGGGGACGGGGAGTCGGGGCGAGAGCAGGAGCTGGGCTGCAGCTACTGGTTATCCTGTGAGGAATGGAACCCCGTAACTGGTAACAGCGGTTCGGTCGGGTGTCATTTTCTCGGCGCCCCCTTCTCTTGCAGTCCTGTGCATAGTAGGGGGCTCGGGGCTCTAGCGGGAGGGTGTCCTCTATGGGCCCCAGGAGGCTTTCTGGTCTGGGGAGGAGTGAGGGTGCACCGTGGCTGTTACGGAGTTGGTGGGCGGGAAGAAGCTTGTGTAGGGCGAAAGGAGTATTGGGCATTACTGGAGAGCAAGGAGGCACCCCCTCGGAGCAGAAGCGCAGGTCCCCTGCTGACTGGCACACTTTTCTCTTTACATTGTTGCTAGCTGCAAAGTTTGCAGGCACCTGGAGCGCTCCTGGCGATGGGAAAACCGTGCAGGCTTTGCAAGTTGCAGAGAAATTTTCCCGCAGCCCCCTCCCTGCCCCCCACCGCTGTCGACTTCGGAGAAGAGAACTTTTTGGCGGCTCCCAAGTTTGTTTTAATTTTTCGCGCTCTGCGGAGGTGGGAAAGCAGAAATAGATACATATTTGAAACTTGTAAATCTTTTTTATTCCCTCCCATTTTTCAGAGCATAGCCAACAACAGCTTCTGTGACGTTTGCACCTGAAAACCTGTGGGCTCTCCAGTGAGTGATCATGTTTATCTGTGGAGGCATGTTTAAATTTATGTGGTTTATGTAGTTTTGCTATGCACACTTATAGCTTATAGAGGTTTGGCAAAAAAATATAAGGTCACTCTTTTGCTTTCTAAGTTGAAGGAAATCGATGGCCTTAGATGTGCACTGGGATTTTTTTTCCCCTCTTATCCAGTGAGATGCTTTTATCTGTGAAGCTGAGGATGGGATTCCCGCCCATATTCCTCCACAGTCTGGTTGTATAAGAAATCAAAACCATGTTAATGGTGATTCCAATGGTCTGGAGTGAATGGCCATCATATTCTCTTTATTCAGTATAATAAAGTTAACTAACTCTAAACTCAGAAAGTAATGGAAAAACATTTCGGTAGAAACTGGTTGCACAACCTCATTGCTGACAAACCAGAATCCACTTTCCCAGAGTAGTTCTCTTAAATACCTACCCTGTAGCCACTTGTCAGCCAGAGGTGGGGGGGGGGCGGGGAAGAGTGAGAATGAGAGCAAATCTACTCAGGAGGTTGAGATCTGAGGATCACAGTTGGAAACTAGCCCTGGTAGGATACTCCCTGAGATTCTTATCTCCAGTTAATCACCATAAAGCTGGTACTGGAGCTGTGGCTCAAGTAGTGGAGTAGGACCCTTAAGCAAAAAAGCTAAGTGACTGTTCAGGTTGTGCATTCAAGCCCCAGTACCAGTACACACACACAGATGAGGTCTAGGTGTAAGTACTTGATTTATGAAAGGATAGTACCATCTCTTCAAGGATTACCTAAGATCTCTAAAACCTGCTACTCAGTGCCCAGTATGTATTAAATTATCAATAAATGTTCTTATTATTGCCACCTTTTTGTCAATTGGCAATGTTGTTACCTACAGAAAAGCTCTTAGCCCATTATTGATGTCTTTAAACAGTTTCTGAAATTTTCTGGTCTGCTCCAGTGTAATCACAGTTATGCTATTCTGACTCTAGAATCCACACATTGTCTCCCCACTCTTCTGAGTCATGTTGCTAGGCCTTGGAAGTGTGGTATGAGTATTGGTCACAGGTAGGGTTGAGTAAAGAAAGACTTTCTACTCTCCTTAAAGTGCTTGTGATCAGCTAGGAGCTAAGAGTGAGTGACTTGGAAAGTAGCCTTTGGGCTACTGAGTCACCTTCAGGCTTGCAGAGGAGGTTTCCAGGGCCAAGTCAGGTGATAGTTTCTGACATTCATCAAAACTGGTATGAATTGGTAATATTAAAGAACAAGAATGTGGAAGATATGTGTTTATTATGACCTTCTTTAGTAATGTTTGTCTTTTCCCTCTCTTGTATTCCAGTAACCATAATTCCCATTCCACCTACCCAGGATACAAGAAGCTATATCTGTCTTTTCCTTAAAGAACTGGTGAGAGCAGTATAGGAGGCATCATGTATTTGTGAAGATGTAACATAATACAGGGCTCCTACAAACTAATCAGAGATACAGAGAACAAGATTGAAAAGATTAAACATTATCATGGAACATAATGAACCTACCTCCTCATGGAGTTTACAAAAAGTAAAGGAGCTCAGGAATATTTAAATTGTATGCTGGCTTCCATTAAGAAAATCTCTCATGAAGTAATTTACTATGACCTTTACTAGCCCACTTTATAAACATGAGGTTAGTATTGGCACTGTTCTAGGATTTTTCCCCTTTTTTTGGCGGGTCCTAGGTACTGTCCCTGAGGTTTTGCTCAAGGCTAGCACTCTACCACTTGCCACAACTCCAAGAATATCACATATTCTAGGTGGGGCTGGCTTTGAACTACGATCCTCAGATCTCAGCCGCCTGAATAGGTAGAATTTCAGGAATGAGACACTGGTTAATACAATTTTTTTTTGTATGCTGCTAAGCATCAAACCTAGGGCCTTAGACTGAACTGTCGGCTGTGACATCTACCTAAAATGGAGACACTTTAATAGCTTCAAAAGTTTGGTGTTCTAAGAATAGTGGATAGGAAAGCTGGAACATCATCTGCAAGGTGTGGAAGGAATGAGGATGAATGGTTGGAAATGATGAATGAATATTACAGCTATCAAGTGGTCATTGCAGACTACTGTCTTGAGTTTTTTGGGATCTTTGTGAACCCCCCCCCCCATGTTATTGCCTCCTTTCTATAAGTCTATCCATAAACAGTAGTGGCAAAACACCACCAGAACTCTCTTTGTGCGGGGTACTAGGGAAAACTTGCCTAATCCCTTAGTTCAGTTTGGGAAAAGGAAAACTAGAATTTAGAGCACTACCCCTCTGAGCATGAAATCAGGACCCTGAAGGTTATGGTTTGTCCTGAAGTGGGGATATTGTTCTGGGGCTTTGGCCAATAGGAGACCCCTATAAGTTCATGAAAACTTCTTAACAAGTAATTTCATTTCTACTCTGACCCAGAAGCCATGCCTATGCCCTGCTACCCAAGAAGCTTTTTCCTTTGATATTGGCTTATAGACAAGAAAACCTGAGCCTGGAATGTATTTTAGAAACAGCTAACAATGAATACGGTACCAGCATGGTTAGTACACTAGACCTTATTGTTCAGATCTTCTGGGAAGCTTTCTAATAGTCTTCTTTTCAAAAATTTAGTTTTGATAAAATATTGTAAGCTCAAAAATGTTGCAAGATTGGTACAAAAAGCTCACTGTATTCCCCTTACCCGAGGTCATCAATTATCAGTAGTTTGTTTTCATTTATTGTATCATTTGTTCATTGTTTCTTTTTCCAAATCGTTTCAGCATAATTAATGAGAAATTGGTACTTGTCAAGGCCATCCTATCTTTAAGTGTCTCAAGTGTAGCCACTAGTGTAGCAGAACTTTGATGGTGGGGCCTGACCCATAGATAAAAGTCTTCAGTATATCTATGAAGCACACATTTATAAATCATGTGGAGTCTCTGGTGCTAGGTAAAGAACTCATCCATTGTAAATGTATTTAAGGTAAACCTCCTTTTTTCTCACCATTCTTGTTAACTTTGTTCCTAACTATGTCAGACTTTATTGTTAGGAACAAAAATTTACTCCCCAACTCAGTGACCATAATAATATTCTTTAACATTTTTAATTATTCCAGCAAATGTGTGTTACTTCTGTTTACTGAAAGAAAGAATTGAAAGATGGTTATACCCTTAAAAAAAGCTCCATTTTCAGTGAAAAGAGAGTAAGGAATATTATCACAATTAGGGGGAAGAGCGTTCTGCTGAAGGGACTATCTTGGGAGCAAGGGATGGGGATACAGGCTTGGGTAAGGATGTGAAGAATAGATGTCTGTGAGTTATTTATATGAATCTCCATCTTTTCTGAAGCTTGATGCACTTAGATGATGAAGTTCATGATGTAGGGCATTTGGTATCATACGTACCACAGGGATAGTACCAGACCAACTTGAATTTGAATTCTGGCTCTTTCCCCTTGATCTAACCAGTTACTAAACTTTGTGCTTCAGTTTCTTCATCTATAGACCACATGTCTGGATGGAATTGAAAATGTAATTGAGATAAGAATTGCT